ATTACAATACAAGCCTCGCATTTGCATGAGGATATTATGGACGATCGAGTAGCGGTTAGTGAGGCGAAACACTCTTTTCAAGCGCATGTATTGTAATTGCAACACCGTAACAAACCATAACGCCCGCAGCAAGTCTTGATTGACGTGTTCAGCGTAGCGCCGCATTGCAATCGACTGGGAGCCTCTGTGCTAAACACACAGGAAATCACTCAACGTCTTGGTGTCATGAATTCAATTAGACAAAAGAGGAAAAACACGTCCCTCACGTTCTCAAAATTTCATGACAGCGGGTAGATACTCTCGAAACTTCAAAGTAATGTGGAAGATTGAAACAAACGAGAGCGCACAAAGACAGACGCATTCAAGCAAACTTTCTCCTCATGTGTTCTGCTAACATAATAATAACTCCCCATTAGCCCTCATGTTCTGTTTGGGGCTTGAGAAAGCTCAATGCTCTAATCTTAAAAATACACTGAAGATCAGGTTACTTTTCCTAATCTTATGAGAACTGATAAGCAAAAAACCAACTGTAAACAAAATTCATTACACATCCTCAAAGTTTAATATCATTATATTTGGGGGTTTAAAGACTCTAGGTTTAAAAAACATGAATAAACCAAGCGGCAAGTGGCAATTGAAGTAAGATTTTTGCTTTTAAGAATTAATGCTTTTATTCAGCAAGATTAGCCTAAATTAAATTGATCAAAAGTGACAGTAAAAACTTTTATAATGCTACAAAAGATTTCTATTTCAAATAAGTGCAGTTTTTTGCACTAAATTAGCATATTAGAATGATTTCTGAATTTTGCTTGATTTCTGATTGCTGTTTTAACTGTATTTTTGATCAAATAAATTAAGCTTCAGTGAGAAAAAGAAACATTGTCCAAAAACATTTAAAAAATAAATAAAAATTACAGACCTCTAGATAGACACAGACAGACAGACAGACAGACAGACAGACAGACAGATAGACAGATAGATAGATAGATAGATAGATAGATAGATATTTTAAAGAATGAGAATATTATGCAGATGGTTCTTAGAGCATGACAAGATTATTCACACTAAAGCACTTTTGATAGTAAATGCTATTTTTATTTATTTATTTATTTATTTTGTCTTTTTGACTTAGATTGTGAATATTGTCCATGCTACACATGACATTATGAGATAACAGACAATTAAAAGTTAAAAAACTATGAAAGGGAAACTGAAAAAGTGCCAATATCATTCCCCGCAATTCATCCAAAAATCCAAATGATCTTTGCAGGGTTTCAATAAACCACAGATTAGTGATTTAGAAGCATAAAAGATCAAGAGTTCCCTGATGGGTCTGGGACAAAATCCAGAGTAAGAAATGCAAATGTTGCCAGCGGCACCCCTAGAGGACAACCTTTATTTTGTTACACCTTCACTGTGCTATCAATACAATTACTCCTTTCATCAGCCGAAAGAAACGAAAGTAGGGCCATGTCAGCTTAATTACCCATGCCCTTACATGAAACTTCTTGAGACCACTGAGAATGAAAGGTGCAATTTTGTTCTTGTACTTATGTACAATATCAGGCATCTTACCAATTACAGAAATTATGCTTCTAACTACAACCGAAACTCAGAATGTTGCACAACGTGCCATTTAATTGAGAACATTTCCACTGAAACATAAGGATTTACTCTGCTAATGCCACAATAATAACCCCAGCCTAAAACTAATCACCTAATCATCTTCAGAAGCCTTCTATATCTAGCATTTCAACTTTTCATTCTGTTACAACACCTGAGCAGGCACAATGCAGCCATCCAATCAAAACAAACACATTTCAATGCACGGCTTGTAATTACAAGACCTTTACAAGTATCGCTCCTCATTACCTCTATTTTATATTGTAGGACTACAAAGAAGGACAGAGAGAGAGTGCTTAAGCATCACTATGAAGGATAGTCTGCAGGCTAGCATATCTCATTATTACCATGTTCTTGGGATGGGGGCCACGGCAGTTTGGTCCAGAAATAGACCAACGAAATGGCACTACCCATCTGTCCCACCTACAATGCAACGCTCAGGATTATATTCTACAATTTCCTCTGGCTTTAGAGTTTAACATGTAACTAACCATAACTGTGCAGAGGAAAGGGATAATGATTTGATTCCCTTACCAGCTTTGATATTGTTCCCCCGCCCCCCTCTCCATCTATTCTCTTCAGTTGCACAATAAATGTCATACACGCAACCTACATTACAAAGAAGCTTCAGCCAGACCGAAAACACATACTGTCAGTGAAGAGTGTTGTGATATCCCCTAAGAGCCCCAGACGTGCTCTCAATATGTCAAATCTTCCTGAGAATGAGGGCGATCCACACCATTAAAACTGTCGCAGACAAAATCTAGTACACACTCTACATCTATTGTGAACATAGACGGTGGTGAGTAGACTTCATTCGAAAGAAACAGGTAGTACAAGATTTATATCATGAGCTCCCAACCAATTAGACGTCTGAAAATGTGCATCTGAGGAAAAAAAATTTATATTAAATGGCATATCTTTGAAGGCATCACTATATGGCTGAAACACAAGATGAAGAATGCAAATATCCTTCAAAAAGAATGTGCAAAGAGCAGGGGTCTACACCAGGGGGTCCACAGTTGGTGCGGCAGGAGGTCTGCCAATTATTGTTTGATCTCAAAATAGTTTTTGTGAAGTAAATAAATATATGATTACATTTTTTTAAATGTATTATACATTTACTTCACAAAAAATATTAGATTAAACAATAATTGTCATATTACACAATTTATTTACAAATATCATTTAAAGAATATATGTAATAATGGTTCTCTCGATCTACCAAGGCACTTTAACCTGAAAAGGTTTGAATACCCCAGGCAGTACAAGTTTGGGGGAGAGAATCGCAGCCACTAGGTGGCGAGATAGGAACCTTGATCAAAATTCCTCAAGGACTACTGGCCAAAGCAAACCAAACGTCTGTGCTAATGTTGGGATAATTACCTAATAATCAATCTCTAGGTTGGACCCAACTTCAAAGCTGACCTATGCCGTCTCCTGACACTTCTTGGTCGGTACTAAAGGGCGCATTTGGAGGTGCACCCGCATACTGCTGGACACTCTGGGCTTTCCACCCACATAAATCACTGACTTTCTCAATGGGCTCCTAAAGGAGCTGCAGCATTTCGATGCAGCGCATGAGATACTTCTCTTGGTGTGCACATCATTAGAAGGCTCCTCTGCAATCAAGTAAAGCGAGTGTGATAAAATGCCTTCATCAGTCGTCTCTCCGAAAAGAAACGATGCCGTTTTCGCATTCAAATGACGTCACGTTTTCATCAAGCTATTGCAGAGAAAAGATTAGGAGGGCATTACTAATGACAGGCAACGGTCTATTCTCAACGCAGAGTCCCTCTGAAACACGCAAAAGCATTGTACGGTGTATAAGAGAAGGCATGAACGTATATTAATCTGCTTCTGTATCTATTGTGCCCCATAAAGGTAGAGGACCATATGTGACAATTCTGGATTAAGATAAAATATCCTGAATGTCCTGAATATCCACCTGTTTGCTATGGTAGATATGCACTAGATTAAGTAAAAGACTAATGCACTAGATCGTTTTTTCCCCATGAAATTATTACAAAGTGCATCGATCAGATGGTTAGTATACATACTACATGGTATAGAAAATGTTAAATAAAAAAAAAAGATCTTTGCCAGATCTTTGCCGTCAATAGGCTAGTAATACTAGATAAATGAAAATACAGTTACACGTATTACCATACAGTATGTTTTTTAGTGAATGGATTACATGTCTTAACTGTATTAAAGTATATATCATTAAACGATATAAGTTTAATATATCAACCTACTTAAACTCTTACAATGTTTGTTACGAGTGGTAGGTGGTACACTGGAAGGTCATGTGATGACTTAAAGATCATTGCAACTGGCGTCTCCATCAACTGTGACCAATCAACAAACAGAGCATAGTGCTTCTCATGCAAACACAAATAACACTAAAACAAAGGCGTGATATTAACTCAATGACAGAATACAAAAAGAAAATAACTTTTGTAAATAAACGAACCACACTCCACAAATTATAAGCCAATTCAACCTTTTTACTCAACAGTTGCTACTGTAAATCGACATAGCCTACTGCCTTGTTTATATAGCCTATATATTTTATATATTATATTGTTTTGTTTTTTCCGACCTACCGCTACACCCAAACTCATCATGTTAGCCACATAATTTTACAGACATTGGCCATTTCAACTCTTGTATGTAGCCTAAATGGATCATTTGTGGATGTTTTATTCATGCCTGCATAACGCGTGACTTATTTAACCAACTTTCAGGCATGCACACGTCACCTAGCCAGAAACACATGCGCTACAATATTTATTTGTTTAGTGCATCAAGCCTTAATTAAATTAAACACGCGCATGCTCCCACGCCAAATTGACTCCTGCCAAATCCCCAGCACCCCTGCCTCCACCTCCACACAGTGGCCCCTCGGAGGAACCCTCTCATTTACAGCTCTGATTTAAGACCTCTCTTGGACCCGATCCCGCGCGCAGTGCCAATCCTCGTACCCATCGCTAACGCATGCACGCGCACGTGCGCGTTCGTTCAGCCCTTTTACGAAGAGTATTACGAACACTCTTGATCTCTGCATATCCAAGTTTGTGTTTTTTTTAAAGGATGTCATAACGTGGCGCGCATACAATGCGGCGTTGCGAGGAAACGCTTCCAGTCAAACCACCTGTTCTCACCCATCGTATACATAATGGACACATTGATGAGGACAGATGGAGATCTTCATCTCTCTAACCCGATATTACAGTCGCAACCTTATTTAAAGGCATCTACGCATCCGCTTCAACGCGAAACTCGATAGATGCAACATCTTAACGAATTGCACGACAATGCACAGATCTTGTCAACGTGGAAACGAGTCTGAATGAGACGAGATCTGAACTTACCAATGTGAATAATTGAATCGGGAAGCACAGGCTCCCACTCCAGACTCCAAAATGTGATCAGAAACAATACTGCCGGAAAAACTTTCATCTCTCCCTCTGTTAAAATCTATCCTCGTTAGGTTCAGAAAGATGCCGAAGCGACGGTAGTTTTAAATCCTGTGCAAAGAGGCTGCTTTTCCTCCTTTCAAACTGTCAGCCGATGCTTTTTTTTTTTTTTTACCTCGGATGCGCTTCTTTTGGAGGCGAAATCTTCAGTAACCCGTTTGGAGAGCGCCCGTCAAAACATCCTGATGCTCAAGATCTCCCAAGCAAATCCGAATCAATATCAGACAAAGTTAAAATGCGCCTCATTCACTGTTGGGGTTTCTATCCTCCCGTCTAGGCGAATAAATCGGGGTTCCGTGCGCTAAACACGACGCATCTCAGAGCATCACCCACCGCACGACTGAACAGAACTTCCTTTGCGCTGATGCAGAAAAGCGCCACACTCACAGCCACGAATACAGCAGAAGAAGATTTTTGCACTGAGCCCTTATTCCGATGCAGTACTGCGGAGACTTTTCTGCGACAGAGACCGAGCGGCTCTACATGCGAAATCTCGAGCTGTGATGAGTGGGAGGAGGCCCCCAGGATAGATGCGACTACAGGAGCAGCAGCATCAGTACCCGGCGCTGTCCAGAACTGAATTAACAGAGGAAAGAGAGAGAGAGAGAGAGAGTGAGCGAGCGAGCTAGAGAGAGATCCACAGTGGGGTGGGCGGAGGTAGTTTATGATAATTCAGAGGACTCATCTTTGAGACTGGCTCCTCCCTTGTCCAGCAACTGCCAATCATTTAGTCTGCAACTACCGGTTTTCCATAAAAAAAAATGAAAAAAAGGAAGGAAATAAAGAATGAAAGAAAATAAATAAAACCATTTTTGGTTATATTTTACTGATAACGGTGTTTTTGTTTTTGTTTTCTTTGTTTTTTGTTATAATAACAGTTTTGATTAGATTTCTAGACCTCAATTTCATCTCAGTCCTCTAGAAATCTGCAATCAATCTGTAAGCCCCCTTAAAAATCTATGATTATGTAACGGCTCCAGACAAAAAATGAATATGAGGGAGATTTAGTATATTTAGTAGATTCAGTTATGTCAATTACATTTTTTTGTACTAGCTGTATTAAATCTGTTTTAAATATTAAAAGTGATCACTGTATTTGTGCTATATACATTTCACCCTATTTTGTAAAAGAATAGATAAATAAAAAATAGATAAATAAAAAAATGGATAAATAGATAAACCAATCAATCAATCAATCAATCAATCAATAAAACATTTTGTAAAAAAAAAAAAAATTCACCTGTATGGGTGGAAAAGGGTCAAATGTTGATTTATGGTTTCATCATGTCACTTAAACAGACATATAACCATTTATATTAAAGTATACTTATCACAGTAACAGTTCCAGGTCCATTTTGAATCAGACATACTGTAACCCAAAAATGTTTTGAGTTCATTGAGGAATCAGTAATGGTTTTGAATGATTCACGTATTGAAGCTGGTTTTATTTTTGTTTAAATTAGTTTATTAAAAATAACTTTGCACTGCTCATTGAGCACAGAAGTATAAAGACTACCCTCCATATCCATCAAACGCTCCCTGCTCCACTGGGATAATTTGTGTCTGCTTAATAGCACTGTGTCATGGGCCGTCTCCACTTCGCAAGATAAAACAAAGTAGTTCAGAGTTCAATTTGTACTTGTACTCGCCACATTAAATCCTCTTGTTTATTTATCCATGACCTTCAGGTGACGTGCTGACTGTTCTACCTCAAAGAGACTTCCATGAGCTTGCAGTCCTGAAGATAAAGCAAAGATCACACTGAGAGTAGACAAACAATGCTGCCTAATGCAAAGTCAACATCTTAAAGGATTGTTTTATCAGGTAGGGTTTGACATTTTCCGTCACATCTTGCAACCTAAAAAACAAATGACAAATTTGTGCAGTTTGACTCCAATGACCTTTTTTAACCATTCAATGGCATTGTTGATTTTGGTGTGACCCAGGGAACCCAAAGGATTATGGGAGACAGCAACACATAGCCATTGTCTGTTCGCTTAGATCAAATCCAGAGAGCGAGAGCAATGGCTCATTAAACACAGAGATTGGATCAGGCGTGTGACAAAATGTGAGGAGCAGAATATCAATGTATCCCAGAAGAACAGTACAGAGGTCAATAATAGCAAGCCTTCAGTCTAAAACTGCACAACAGATACAAGCAGTCTGCCACTTGATATGCCATTTACTTAATTCATACTGAGGCACCAAAGCTGTCTATTAGAGATGCATGTAAAGGCATATGGGATTCTACTTGATGGGTTTCGATTCACCTTTGACTCCCCGTCCTCTCTTCTTTTAGCTCCAGACGTATAAATATTGATAAGCCCACTTAATGGAAGCCACGTAAACTACATGGGAATAAAATTGGTCACGTGAAGGCTACATTGCCAGCCTTACTCAAAACAGATGCAGTACACCATCAACTCTTTCTTCACCCACCACAAAATGTCTTCTTTTATGCAAAAAAACTCCAATTTCCATTCTTTTCGATTTCCACCTGGGCTCATTTCTGAAACACAGCTCATGCAGCCATTCATAGCTCACCAACACAGTGTTTTCTGAACATGAATTATGTATTAGCAAGCAAACAGAATGGGCACAGGGTTATCTGCGCACAATGTCACGGCCTGAGATTGACTGAGCAAAGTTGGGGTTGAAAGTCAGATGTGGGGTGCTTTAGAAGATGTTCTGGAAGCTTGTTTTGGCAACTGCAGCTGTCCTGATATCCTCACCAAAATATTTATAGGTCTTCTGGCATCAGAGGGTTCATTTTTAGATTTGTGCGTAAGAGAAGAGACTTTCCAAAGAGAAGTTTCCAAAGTTTCATTAATAATAAAACACCTTTTAACTTGAAAATATCGCAAAGCTCCGGGGGACTTCCGAAATAGATGCAAAACAACAGCACGGGCAAACAAGGTGGGAACGGTGTAAATTGCGGAGATGATTAAATATGATAGTTACTTTAAACACTTGCTTTGTGACAAGTTTTGAAGTCGGTAGATTTCCTTTGCCATTCATAATAAGTGCAACAATAATATTTGAACTGAAACCCAGACAGAGCTGGCTAGCACGCACTATGAATACTAATTTAGAAACAGATTATTGTAACATTAAGTTGAGACCTTCAAGTTTGACAGACTGCATAAAAATCAGTTTCAAAAGCCACTGTGTCAGAATGAAGAGAGAGCACTTCAACTTCTATATGTTACAATCCATGCATTATTTATAGCACCATCAGGCCGCTTAATAGCTGATCACTGGCTCAAATAAAGGCCAAGAAATAAAACACACAATTGCAACTTTTTTTCTGCACACTTGGCTGAAATTCGCTCCCATTACTAAATAGCATTAACTGCTCATAAATGGAGCAAAATAGCTTTGTGATTTGTGGCTGTTATGTGTAATTTGCTGCCTGAGCATAAAAGTTGGTGGATCAATTTTTAGCTATCCGCTCCCTCCAGAAAATGTGATTCCATTGACAAAACCTGCAAGCCGGAGCCTGGTCTTTGCTGGACTACGATGACAAGTGTTTCAAAAGACATCATAAAGTAGCTGTGCTCTATAAATAAGAGCCTATTCACTCACAGTGGTAAAGGAGCTGTCCGCTGGACGAGGGGAGGGCTGCCGAAAGAGAGTGCACACGACTCAGGGAGCTGTTCACTTTATGGTGGTGCTGAATACCAGGAAGCCAGTTTATTCGGTGTAGCATGTTAAAAGTCAATGCTTTGGCCAAGACCTGCATTTGCTGAATCACATATCCATTTTTAAAGTGATAACTGACACTGAAGTGTATAGCTGAAGCTGACTAACTGTAGCTGTCTTGCGTGCAAGAGAAAACTACAGGTGCATCTCAATAAATTAGAATGTCGTGGAAAAGTTCATTTATTTCAGTAATTCAACTCAAATTGTGAAACGTGTGTATTAAATAAATTCAATGCCCACGACATTCTAATTTATTGAGATGCACCTGTAGTAGGTGGCAAAGCACCTACAGTACAAAGCAGTAACTCTTGACAAACAGCAGAGGGCTCCCATCTATTTGAGCTGCTTGACATTTCACTTCTATAAAAGAAGGCTTTGAAGTAACTGAAGATTTGCTGGGGAAAAGGAAAGTAGTGAGACTTTCAGGATGCAACGCTTTGATTTGTTGATTTGAAAAAAAAAAAAGATTGCTCTAAACATAAAAGCATACCGTTCAAACAGATATGAATCCCTCGTAATTGACTTGCCCCACAGGAAGAGAGGTCACAATTTTAGATTATAATGTCATTACTAAAATATTGACAGGTCTGCTCATATGGGGACTGTGTTATGTCCATAAAGGGACGGTGCTGCAGTGCTCGATTTTGTGCAGTGCTTGGGTCAATACCTAGGTGGAGAGGTCTGAATAAAGATGAGTTTCAGGTTATTTACAGTTGCCGCACCAGGACTCAGACACTCTTTAGATTAATCACTCTCTTTCCTCAGAGAATGAGAGAGAAAGACCCCAATCACACAATGCTGCGGCGGCTTCGCCGTCTGTCTGTTCTTCCCCCACCCCACACGAGCAGGCACACATCCTCGGGTCAAGAAAATAATCTGCGCGAGCCAATGATAAGTTATGGCCTCTGACAAAAGAGCAAAGATGTTTGTTTCAGTGGAAACAACAGCACTGGTTTAGTCTCCTCAAGCGCATAATCAATCTAAGCTCTGATGTTTACTCTTCCCACCATTTATTAAACCAAAATTTTCCTGTCACAAAGTTGGCTTGCATTTTTCAAGGGCACCAAGAAGTGTGTTTAAGTGCTGAGCTAGGACACAACATGCCCCCTTTGTGACAGACTCGTCTCCCCCATGGGGTTCGCCAACCGCCGGGCCAAAGGGGGCCAACAGACGCAATCCACCTCCTTGGCACTGCCCTTCAGTGGAGTTTGTGTTGTATGATTAATGGAACACCTTGCACATGGACGTCTCCGGTCCGCTGCCTGGAGTTAGGCTCCGACTTAGTGCGGAATAACCAACTAATCTCGCACGTCTGTTGCGGAAGCCCGGCATAATCAAGCTGGCGAGACTCTGAAAACCCCAAAGAAACTATACTATCAAACTAGCAACAAGCAAAAGATGGCTATTTCCTTTCATGTCGGAGATGTGGGAGGGAAAGTCACAACGTCCAATTTCCATTTCACCCGTGAGAATAATTGACTATTCTGCCTGTGAGTGTATAAATCCATCAATCCTCCTGTGATCTTGGAGCTGAGGCAGGCGTTTTCGCTGAGCTGTTTTCTCCAAATTTGTTCGTGAATTGTGTCTTGTCGCTGTGTCTCTCACAGTCAAACCATTTTTCCTCCCCTTCAGCAGGGTGACAGATTACTTGGAGAAATTGGGTCACACATTCACGTATCCCGAATTTGCTGCACTTTTTGAGGGATAAAGACGCAAATGCCATGATAATTTATTTTGGCTCTTCAACAAGATGAAGACAGTAAGCGATACAGCGATTCTACGGTAATGGACCATTGTAGGAGGTGAGGTCTGATGCTGCGTTACCAAAAAGGACTCTAGGGTTGCTGGAGTGAGACTAT